GACTATTGTGTGTATTCACTGTAACAGATCAGGAAGCCTGCCCCTGGCATTCCATGCCCATTGTGAAGTTAAGCTACTCATGCACATTTTTAGGCTCTGTTCCAAGTGCCTTGACTATCACTGGAATAATTTGTGGTTCTGTTTTCAGTAATAGCTCTGGTTATTGTTTTGGTAGCTATTCATGTGGGTGCATAAAGCCTCACTAATGATTTGGTGCCAGAGAAGTGAAGGAACCACCGAGTAGCCCAGTTATATCAGAATCAGCTATCTTAGCATTCTAGACCTCTTTTTGAGATGGTAACTATGTAAGGTTTTCCTTATATGATTAAAGAAAAATAAAAATCAGAGAATTGACTGAGGTTGAGGTTACCATGGGTGAGGTGGGATGAAATAAAACCTTCTGTCCCAATTTCACCCTGCCTCTCACAAGCTCAGGGTTAATTCTCTCTTTTGGATGAGTCTATGAGCCATGTGTAGTGGGCCATATGCAAGAACCGATTGTGGGTAACAAGAGGGTAAACAACCTTCCTCCTAGCTGACTAAACTAATTGGGGTTCAGATGAAACACTGGCCTGGTTTACCATGTTTTGGGAATGCAGCCTATAAATAACTGGGAGAAAAGTTCTTTATAAGAATTTTTTTCAAAGCAGTGCAGAACAAAGGGCCATTCTCATACACATTTTCTGGCTTGAACATGTTCAGATTTATTTATTTCTGTGATTGCAGCACACCTTACTGTGCTACCCAGTATAAGCTTCTAGAAAGCTAATATATACTGACAGCAACAAGTGGCTGCTTGCATTATTGCTTTAATGCAGCTCAAACTTTTTTTTCCCTTCTCAAAGGAGGCGCATGGATAGCCCACAGAGTTCTTCCTTGAATAATTCCACTTAAGCCTTTATATAAATATACCCTTTCTCAAATTTGAGGTTCTCAGATCATAGCCTACAACATCCCATCAAGATGGACCTTAGCCAGGACCAGATCTGCCTTCGGAGAAGATCTGCATAGCTATTCAATCTAAGCCAGCACCAACCCAACTCTACTGTTTTACATTTCCTGCACTCCCACAGTTGCTCCTAAAAGCAGATTTTCCTTATTTCCTTTAGCCTGTTGAGGTTTCTTTAGCCTGTTTGTCTGCTGGCCGCAATCTTTCTTTTTGCATGGAGTAGGATCTCAGAGCAAAGAAGAGAACGTTTGTTTGGAAAGTGAATTGTTTGTCTAAATAGATGCAGATGCAGCTACTTCAGCAATACCTCAGCGCAATGTGTGTCTCAACTTTAAAATGACTCATAAAGATAGAAGCTCCAACAACTATTCCTCTGAGAAGCACACTTGAATTTTACCACTAGCTTCTGCAGCAGCAGGCCACCAAAAGAGCAATTTCCGCTTTTCACTATGATGCAAGACTGTTGTCCCTGGTGGGTGGCTTCTTAGATTTCTTATTGCCACTGACCTTCTTCACTTTAGAACCTTCATGTTCCACAACAAAGATAGGCCTCAGGGACTTACAGGGACCCCAAGTCCCCACTGTATGGCCCTCAGGTGCCCTTTTTGTAGCCATCTGATTATCACTGTTAAAAATGGCATGCTGAGTTTATTTCCATTTTGAGATGCAAAACAGAAGAAAACTAACATACTGTAAACCCTAAACTAAACATACCACAAAGAAGGAAAAATCCAAACAACACCCCTGAAACAACCCTGCTTATGTAGGTTGTGGCTCCACTCACTTTGTAGCCCTCAGCTCTCCAAAACGTTATGCGTAGCCTTCAGAACACCCACCCCCATTCCTGTTTTGCAGAAAACCAGGGATCACTCAAGGAATGTATAAATTTTGGAATCCCTCAAGACTGTAGTGTCACAGAGCACCAGAGCTCCCTCCTCAGCCTTTAAGTCCAATATTGACAAAAAGGACTAACTATTATGCCGTCATTCCCAATTCTCTGAACAATATTAACATTTTACCAAACGATTACAACGGAGGCTTCACTGGACACTGACGACTTTCTCTAATATTTGTATTTGAGCTACACACCAACTCTGAAGGACATCTTCACAAAATAAAGGTGCTTTGCTATTCTGGAAGAGCCACTGAGATCAACTGCAGCAATCCACTAGCTATCCTCCTGAGCTCAACCTTTTTTTTTTTTTTATCCACACTCAATCATGACCAATTCGGCGGCGACTGCCTGGACGAGTCCCTGCAGTTTTCAAGGCAAGGTGTTTCAGAAGTGGTTTGCCAGTGCCTCCTTCCTAGAGCAGAACCCAGCTGGCGAGCTCAGGAGGCGGGGTTTCCGTTGCTTCGCACCTTTTGTGGGCGTGCGTGGCTTCCGCGCTACTGGCAACTGCTCCCTTCTCCCATGCAAGCGCCACCAGTGTTTTTCCTCCCACCGGGGTGAGAGTCCCCATTTCTCTACTCACGTAAGTTTTGGAGCTGCTGGGTTGGCAGGAGCTGGGGAAGAAGCAGCAGCTCGCTCTGCTGCACGGAGCTGGGCTCGAACCGCTGAAGGGTTGACCAAGAATTATGGGACTCAGGGCTAGCCTAAGAGATGGCATCTTGAGTAATGAAATCAGGAGATCAAAAAGCATCCCCAATGCTAGGAAGCACCAAAATGTTCGTGACAAGTACAGACAGAGAGCCCTGTCAGTTGATCACTATCCTACTGATGGGCAGTGTAGGCATCTGGCAAGAAACAACATTCCAGGAGTTGGCAAGTGAAGGATCAAACATGCAACATTCCAATAGTGTTTCCTTAACATCCCACAGAAGAAGCAATATACAAATGTTCACAGCAGACATTTTAAATAGGCAAAATGCACCTAAGCTCCCAGGTTCACTCTCAATTGTTCTGACACTTAGGCTCAGACCATTATTCATAATGACAGAGTAGATGCAAGTAATCTAATCCAGTCCATCTGACCCACCACTGAGAGTTCAGACAACTTTACAAGCGTCAGAAACGCCTGAAGCATTCCTCCCTCGGTTCTCATTCACACTACCTCTCCAGATATGATCCTCCTGCTTCCATTCTGGCCCAAAGAAATGCAGCCTTGATGGCTGAAATAACACAGGTGGTCCTTGTTACAACCCGCTCTAGGGAACCCAGATCAGGACAGAAGGCTGGAAGGAACATAGCCCAGCAACTTCATATATAAAAGGTCCCAGGTTCAATCCCTGAATTGTGCAGACCATGCAGGACTGCCTGAGGTCTTAGAAAGCCAATATGTTTGCCATAGACAATACCATTTATAGGTGAAAGCACAGCCATTGGCTTAGTTGTCTTGAGTGTTCTCTCACTGGCGAACTGCTGTTAGTCAATAGCTTCCATTAAGGAACTCCATATTATTTGGTGGTGGTACAAGAAATAAGTATTGTTTTAATTACTACTTAAACAATAAGCAGACATGTGAGGGAAAATGCTTTAAACAATTCAAAAGCAATAAAAGCTTCTCCACAAATCAGTAAAAGCAATAAAATCATAGCACAACCCATTGCAGAAGATAACATATGAAGGCAGAAAAGCAAGTTGGAAAATAAAACTGGAAACTGTAGGGAACTTCAGTGAAAGTCAGTTGCCCAGTGACTTCTGGTAAAAAGACTGTCCTGGGGCTGAAGACTTCATTGGGTGGGTTATTCCCAAAAGCCTGCTTTTCCCAGGTAAATGCCACTCAGCTGAAGGCTACCAACACACCTGCCTGTTCCTGAGGTGCTAGCACAGAGACCCTAATAAATATCAACCTGTCCGTAGGTGGGGCTGTGTGAACTACAGGCATTCTGCACAGGGCCATGTCAGAGAAAATTCTATGAGTGCTTGTTATACCTCCCAACCTGAAAGAAAATTAGCAAAACTCCCAATGTACCCATAGAGGGTCCCCCCCCCCCGCCTCACCCTTTAATGGTAAAGTTTCAGGAAAGACAAATGAAATCTATCGGTATTTACCTCCAGGGCTGCCAACTTTTACAAAAATCTAATGCACAGAGTATTTGGTTTTTCGCCTGCATGCTGATAAAATAAAGCACAGTTGTTGATTTTGATACATCAAGTTGCTGTCAAGGGAATCAAGGCATGGCATGGCAGACTGATTTTGCTTTTTGATCAGTTGGCAACCTTATCTGATTTGTATGCATGTTTGACATGCTTTTTTGCTGGGTTGACTATATTGTATGTATATTAGTAGAAAACATCCTTGCAGAAATGTAGAGAGACTGTGTAATTCTGATATCTCTGAATTACATGCAATTCAATCCTACCCCTCAATCCCATGCAAAAGCCTTAAACACTCACTATTTCAACTCATAGCATTTGCAGTCTTGATCTGTAGCACACTCCACACTGGCACAAATGCTCAAGCCCTACGCCAAAATCTCTTGCTTGCCATCCTTAGATGTCTTTCTTATTCATCTCACTGTTCTTCTTCACTTGCCCCTAACCATGGCATAAATGTGCCCAGGAGAAAATGAGTCACAATTGAAAGCAATTCAAAGGATTTTAGTAACCCCCACCCCTTTAAAGAATGTGGATCTCAGGCCAAAGAATTTCCCTTGAGATTTAGGGGCTTGTAATGAACCTAGCAAGTGCAGAATGAAGAAGCCTGGCTTCAAAAGGGGATAAAATGCTACTAGTCCCTCCAAACATCATGTGTGCGCACTTCTGTCATCCAGATTTAATCAATGCACAACAGCAGTGAAAGAACCAAGATTAGATCAAAAAGGTTATAAAAAGTATAAAGACAGATTTACAAAGGATTTCACACAAACACACATGCAGAAACACAGACTGAAGAGGTGAAGACAGTTTTGGCCTTGGGAACCAAGCGGACGTTATAAACCTTTGCCAGCCGCGCTGCTGCCTCTGGCGTGTGCAGTCACTCAAGTTCCACTTGCTCAGCCTCAGTTCCCCATCTGCAAAATGGAACCGTCAAGGCCCTAATTCCAAGGCTTACCGAAGGCAAAATCAGAAAAGGGTAAAAGGAAGTGCAGACGAGTCTCAATTTACCTTTATAGGAGAGGCGAAGGCGAGGCACGCGGCCCTTGGCAGCATCGCAGACGACAACGAGATCCCAGCTGAGCCACCACCAAATTCCCAGGCCAGCGAAGAGGGCTCCCGCGCGCTGCATAGCCCCTCACTCGTCCTGCTCTACGCTCCCGCTTTCCCTTTGCCCGGGCGGGCAGGACTACCGGCCCCGCCGCAAGTTCTTCCAAACTCAGAGGGCTTGCCCTGCGCCCCGCTGCCCTTCCGAGGCCGCGCTCCAGCTGCCTAGGGGAGGCTCCAGAAGCCGG